AGAACCAGGACCAGGAAGAGATCTGCATCAGAACCAGGACCAGGGAGAGATCTGCATCAGAACCAGGACCAGGAAGAGATCTGCACCAGAACCACGATGAAACCTCCATCAGAACCAGGACCATGAAGAGATCTGCATCAGAACCCGGACTAGGAAGAGCTCTCCATCAGAACCAGGACTAAGAAGAGATCTGCATCAGAACCCGGACTAGGAAGAGATCTGCACCAGAACCAGGACCAGAGCCGGCTCAGCTCCTTCCACCTGTTCCAGACAGAACAGGGCGGCCTGTTCTCTCTGGGGTTTATCAGCATTTTCCTGACGGGCAGCCGGGCCAAAAGACCTCTGTTAGCTACTTTCTGTCTTTATCTGGGACGTCCGGACTCTGATAGCTGACGGAAACGCCTCCCTCGCTGCATTTTAATGATGAACAAAGCGCTTTTATCCAGGACTCAGCGTCCCTGTACAGGCCAGGCTTACCCACAGGCACAGTAGAACCGCTACTTAGGAATTTAATTCGTTTAGGGACCTACATCGTATGTTAAAATATTTGTATGTTGGTTCAAATATTCCCATCAGTAATTCCTATAATTTGTTCCACAGCCCCAAAACCTACGATAACTCCTTAAAATATACTACAGATAATTACACACAGCAATAAAACAAATGCATTATATAAGAGAGATGTAAAAAGAAGTAAATTGTAAAGAAATAACCAATAAAAAGGTTTTTTTTATCGCCACTTATTGGTGAATGTAGGAACTTTAAACTAACTTAGCTTATTTATATTTATTACATTTTTATATTCAATTTGATTTCTTTCTATGACTTCGGGTGTCAAGTCGAATATTTGATGAAATTTAATTTTGGATGTTGGAAAGTTTGTATGTTTAGGCATCCTGAGTAGAGGTTCTGCTGTAGTTTTTTTTTTTTTTTTTTTTTGGGTAGTCAGACATCAAAATAACCTGCTCTGAAATTAAAGACCGGCTTTAAAATAATGAACTTTTCCACTGAGGTAGTATCTGATGCGTCTTTGAAATAGTTTACAATACTTTTAAAACACTGATTCTGTCATGGAAAAGTAAAACAATTATAATTTGAACTCTCTTTAGAAAACTAGCTGCTTTGCATCCATTTTAAGGGGTCCCAGTGTGGCTCTAGTTCAGAAAATAGTGCTTTTATTTGTTTTGAACTGACCTGTGAAGCTTTCTCTGTTGTGGGGAGAAAACAAAATTAGTTTTTTTTTACCGGCCTTTAGCTGGTGGTCACCACCCTCCCACACAGTTTGAGACCCAGAAGCTGACATCATGTATCCCCACACGTGCCGCGGAGCCTTATCGGCATGGAAACGTACAGCTTGAGGGGGCGTGCTCACCCCTGGCCAATCACAGGGCCCCAGTGAGCGAGCGCCCTGGATAGAAAGGCTGGGAGGAGGGTTGGGGGTGTGTGTGTGTGTGGGGGGGGGGGGGGTTGGGGTAAGATTGCTTCCAGATGTAGAAAGCAGCTGTGAGCACGTGAGGGAGACAAAACGTGGCCCAGACACGGCCCGGTTAGCTGGGGGCCGTAAATCAGCGAGGCCCCATGTTTGGCCTCCCGACTAGACGGAGTCCAGCAGCCGGCCGGAGGGGGGGGGGGGGGGGGGGTGCTCACTCTGTATCCCACGGGTTTGGTTTGTTTTTAGATTCATTTTGGTGATATGATCCCAGCTAACCAGCTCAAATGGGATTCAACTGCGTTTCATTTAATAGTAAATAATTTATTTAATACAACTATTTTTTTAATTAAGAAATTTAAATAAATAAATTAATTTAATAAATAAATGTTTTTAATAAATACATTATTAAATAAATAAATGTAATAAATAAGTAAATACAATCAAATTAATTAATTAATTTAGTTAAATAAATAAATTCTCTCTAGAAACAAAGACTGATTTATACTTTTTCTGAATTATCTACTTATTCTACTCATAAGGTACTTGAGATTAATATGTATTTATACAAAAAAAAATGTATTATTTCTAATAATGCATGAAATGACAGAGAACAGCTGGATTTTTAGGAGGATATTTAACTCCAGAGGCACACAAACTCCTAAAAAAAAAAAAGTTTAATTTAGTTTGATTTTCCCGCTCAAACGAGGTTGTGGCCTGTCCTCCTCAGGGTCCATCTCCTGGGTGACGGCCACGCCGGCCGACGTGGTGAAGAGCCGGATGCAGGCCGACGCCCAGCTGCAGAGGAAGTACCGGGGAGTGCTCCACTGCATCGAGGAGAGCTACCGGACGGAGGGGGCACAGGTGAGCCCGGGACCGCCGGGACCCCCGGGACCCCCGGGACCGCCGGGAGCCTCCGGCCGGCCAGATCTGCCCAGATCCCCTTACACTCCTCTAGTCCCCAAAAGGCCCAAAGAGCCTGTAAGGCAGGTCTATGTGCTGCTAAGGTGATGTCAGCCTCATTCTTTATTTAGAAATCTGAGTATAAACCAGAGGAGATCCAGAGTAGAGTAGAGCTAGAGACTTTAACCCAAAAGTATAGTTCTGAAAGAAATAATACAATCAATAAATTAGATAGATCATGTTATAGCATACAGTGCTAAAGGGAGTAATTATAGCCAAAGTCTTACATCTTCTAATGGAATTTGGGAGCTGGGCTCTCACTCTTGTTAGCCCGATTCTTTAGCTGGAAGCCTGAGAAAAAACCAGAGCAGATCAAGAGTACAAAAATGAAATTTATTAAGTCACAGGTAATTCAGCTCCAACAGACAAAAATCTCTCTCTGGGTCTCAGTGGGCAAAGAGCCCTGAGATCTGGGTGTGATGGACATTATCTCCTGGGTTCGTCCACCTCCTCAAAGGAGGTCTGGACACAACTAAGCACATTTCTACACAGCGTTTAAAAAAATGTTTACTGTCCAGAGGATTAAGTCCAGGCTGTTGCATAAAAGGTTGCAAAATGAGCTCAAACTACTGGGATTTCTGATCAATGATTTTATGGGAAAACAGCGAAACCTAACGATCACTTACTGAGAACGAGAACCGATGGCTGCATGTGACCTGATTCTTATCAATCTGTGAGTTTGGTTATTACAGGACAGTTTCTCCCAGTTAGATAACCTGTTGTGACCTGTCTGCCTCTAATATAAGGGCTCTCATTAGAATTAAAGAGAGGAGAAAAACTATAGCAGAAAGCAATACAATAGCTAGAAGTTTATGAATAAACTCAGACATAATATTTCACGTAAACATGTTTATCCATCATATCTGTGAAAAGGAATCAAGCAGCTAGCTGCTTCTGAATGATTAAATGCTAAACCTACAATAGCTGCCAAGAGTAACTTGTTCCATATGATAACTTAGACATTATTCTGTGGTATTTGCATTGAGTAGGTGAAAAGAAACAGTAGAAGAAGCTAACTAGCAGCTAACCGGGTTGCCTTTAGCATCTAAGCTAGCAGAGCTGTTGAGGGTTTAGTGGCTTTTAAAACTTATACCCATCACTTCTCCATCTTAAAATGATTAGTGGTTAAATTTTATCTTAAATATTAGGCTTGGCGTGCTAACAGAATGGTTAGCTTTAGCATGCTAAAACTAACCACGGCAGCTTTAGACCAGCATTGCTTTAAATGACCAGAAATCCATGGTGGATAAAAATTAAACTGTAACCTGAACTGAGAGTATTTAGCTACCATCAGGGATCATCTCCTTAACAGGGTGAAAGTATTTTTTAAATGTGAGACGATGTTTGCACGGTTCATTTTTCAACAAATTGTGTAAGTGTGAGCTCTGTATGATAGCCAGTGAATGCACCCCCCACTGACTCAATCTGCCAGTAAGACCACAACAAAATGTATAATGGTCATTAAAATGAAAGACTTTAGGACTCAGGACACTTTAATCATTGCAAACAATTTAACCGGCAGCTTTTCTATTTGCAGGTCTTCTTCAGGGGGGCCTCAGTAAACGCCATCCGGGGCTTCCCCATGAGCTCCACCATGTTCCTGACCTACGAGCTCTCTCTGCAGTTCTTCAGGAGCTTTTAGGACCGCGGTCCAAAAAGGAAACACACTCGGTTTCTTTGGTAAATGGGAATGCATGGGGGTGGAGGGGGGGGCGTTAGTTTCTGTCTGTGAGAGAGGAGACGTCTGGGGCATTTTTATTCAGAGCTAAATGCTGCCAGCAGCAGGAACAATTCAACTTAAGCTAACCCAGAACCCAGAAGGAGGGGGGGGGGCTCAGGTTTGGAAACTAAACTCGGTCCAGGGAAGTTTCTAGAAGTTTTGCCTTTGTGGGGTTGGCGGTAAACTGCTCTGGGGGGGGGTTGTTTGGAGCTTCTCAAAAAGAATCAGAGCGGCTTTAGTGGTGAGAATAAAGCAGGAGGTGGAGGACTGAGGTGTGGACATTTACGATGCAGTTTTACCAAAGAACCGAGTGTGTTCCTTTTTAAAGGATGTCAGTCCGGGATCCCCGTGATTCCCAAAAGACGACAAAACTGCCGAAAGAAAGCGTCCCCATTGAGAGCGGCTGTCAGGATTCCAAGAACAAAGACGCCGAAAAGGAGCCCAACTGTCCGCCGGAGGACAGGGGGGCGCTATTAACTCTGAAACCAAGTCGTTTAGGTCACGTTTCCTTTTGATTTTCAAATCAACAAACCAATGACTTCAGCCACTCTCTGACCTTTTAACTTATTTCTTCTTCTTAAAAAGCAACCGCACTTTTTAACAGCACAACGAAGTAAACATGAAGCTTTTCTGAAGGATGGGAGATTTTTCCGAAATACGAGTCTTAAATCGAACGTTTTTTTTTCTTAATTACAATCGTTTCCATGACGCTGCCTTTCTCCGTCGTGCTTTTAGGATGCTTTTAAACCTGTTAGAGGATTTAAATACATGTTTCGTACTTAAAGTACCGTGCAGCGTTTTAGGTGAGAATGACTCAGCCGTTCCACAACGCTGCACACGTGTTTCTTATATTAAGAAAAGGACATTTTACTTGAGTTCATCTCGACTTCCTCCTGACTTTATCAGCCCACCGTGTGATTGTTACTGCCGCACAAATGGGAAACCGACGGGTTACTTGAGTTTTAGAGGCTAACGGTGCACGAGTTTCACTCTAAAATCAGGAAATAATTTAGCTTAGCTAAAAAAAATCCCTTAACAAAGAGCTGGATCAGAACTTTAAGGCACTAACTGAACACTTAGGTCACAGTATGGAGGATGATTATTGTATTTCTTTTGTATTTTAAATGGTGTTTTTCTGATGTGTACATTTGTAAATATGTTAACAAGCATTCAGAGGTGTGTTATTGTACATGAATGAATACGTGAATAAAGCCCTCACACACGTGCGCGGCCCTCTTCACTGAATCGCCTCTTCTTGGAAGTCATGTGACGGCCGGTCATGTGTTGATAACGGCGTGGAGCCAGATAAACAGGAGGGTGTGATAGGCCGGCAGGGGGGGGGGGCAGGCCTTGACCCACACACACACACACACACCCTGCCTGCCTGCTGCCCGCTGATTAAAACCAGGGGTCAGGGGACCAGGTGTGTCTGTTTGCCTTCACCTGGGCGGCCCTGCAGTTTCCCGCTGTGTCCACTAGAGGTCAGCATTCACAGACTGAATAAGGAAGAGGCAAACTTCCGCTTCTATTTTGGCGCTTTAACGCCCCCTTGTGGACAAAAGTCGACTACCTCTGATTGTGATTTGTTACTAACTCCACATTTAGAGTCCAGTCATCTTAAAACTGAATGAATTCTGCTTTAGTCAATAGGAAATTATGTTCAGATTGACTAACTCTACATCAGCTTCTATATTCTAAACCTGTGAGACTTTGGCTTGATTCTTTAGATTGTTCCAGAAACCTGTGAAACTGAAAACTCTGGTTTGGATTGATAAGATCTAGATACATTTTTGGAATGTAGAAAACATCAGACCGCTACTAGAGTGACGTTTGTTCCTTAAATGAGCAGCAGAACTGTATGTTTCTGTGATGGTTCACTCTCCAGTTTGTAGAAGCATGAAAATAGTGTTACTGTTACCAATAAATTAATAAAGATTATATCAAATTGATTTATTTAATTAACATTTAATGTAATATATACACAATAAATATATTTAAATATACTAATTCACAAAAAAGGTTGAAAAAATACAAAGTAACATTATTGTTTATGATCCAGATGTCCAATTCGTCTTATTTCCTGTAGTTCCTGAACAGAAATGGCTGATTTCTCCCATTATCCACCAGAAGACGACGTTATACAGAGAACACCTTCCACTCTCACATATCTCCATGTAGATTCTGATCCTTCTGACACCTCTGGGCTGTTTTTTGTGGTGAAAAAAGGCCATGCCAGTGGTTTTTGTGTTCAGCCAGAGAAGGATGATGCGTTTAGGGAACTGTGAAGTAGGCTGATTTCACACTTTTGGTCAGAAAAGAAAACTATGTATGTACCACTGAGACTTGTCAGATACATCTTTTTTTTCTGAGGGATATTTCTAATGGACGGTGAAGCTGTTCCGCGACTGAAACTGGTCAGATAGAAGCCCTGAGGTCAACCGAGAAAGTGGAAATGACCACAACACACTCTCTTTGCTCCTCCTGATCCCACAGAAAGGTTTTCTCGCCACTAACTGGTTGATCTGAGGGGGACTTTCTCTTTTCGTGGAAATCAGAATCAGAAATATTTTAATAATCCCAAAGTGAAACTGTTTTTGTTACAACAGCATAGACATATATACATATCTATACATATACACATCTATATTTATACAACATTTCACACGAAATATAGATAAATATATACATATGTAACTATTCGTGATTTCATTAAAAAAAAAAAACACAATTCGGTTGCTTAATGTTTCTGCTTCCGGATTCGGTGACGTCATCTTCGCCCACTGTCACAAGAAAAACAAAAGGAAGACGCAACAGATTAACACGGTTTGCTTTCTCAGCCCAAAGGTAAGTTCTTTCATTTGGATCCATTCAATAAAGAGACTAGTACCATTTTAAAGCGCCTTGCTTGAATTAGAGAGAAGAAAAAAGATAAAGAATCAAACTTTTGACGGGTGTCAACCGCACGCTGGGTTTAAATCTCATTAACAAAGCAGTTAATTGTAACAAACGTCATCCAGGTTGTTTGGTTTTTTGGTTTAGCCCCCCTGAATGGATCTCTGTATTTGTTTTGTGGACTTTGGACCTTTTTTTGGTTGCGTAATGGAACAACTCTGCGATCTTACGCGTCAAACGACGTTACACCAGCTCAGAAAAATGGACAGAGACACATAAGTTCTAGTGAAAACTGTTTTTCAAGCTGTTTCTGCCACACAGACGTGGAGAATCCCTCTTCCATAATGTTTGGGAGATGTTTGTCTGAACAGCTGTGCGTTAAAATCCAGATGTGAGTCACCGGCATGTAAGAAAGACTGAGAGAGACACGCTGTGAGCTCAGATCAGAGCTTTGTTTTGTTGGAAAAATAGGCAGGTGAGATCATCTCCTTACAGGTTTAATGAAGAGTCTCACAAGGATTTATTTTATTTTAGTTTCTGATATTGTTTGTGAGCAGAGAAAGTTCTCGTCTCACCCATCGGTGTCAAAACTTCCACATAAAAGCCAGAATAGATGAAAAATAATTAGAATAATCGTCACAAATATCCATTTTAAATATAAAAAAACCTGGAATCGAGCACAAGTGAAGATGTTTTAAAGTGGCAGAGAAGTGAAACTGGACTGAGGTCTGTAAAGTATAAATAACTTCAGGATGAGTCCTGAAGTTATTTATACTTTACAATAAACCGGAATAATTATCACTTCCATGAGAAACAGCAGCTCCGAGCCTCTGACTTTAGGTCAGAATCCATCAGGTGGATGTTTATGGTGCCTTTTTGGGGGCTTTACAGCTGTTAGGGGCTCTGTTTTGGTCATGTGGTTCGGGGGAAGGCCGACATGTGACCCCTCTCCCGGCAGGTGGTGACCGGTGGCCATGAGGCAGAGGGATGATGACCAGGGAGGGGAGGCTTCCTCTGAGGAGCACCAGAGCCGGGCCAAAGCTGAGAGGTGAGCTCGGACAATCAGAACTTAGAGAGAAATGCAGCAATTAAAGGTTGATCTATAAAAGATGGAAGGTTTTTCTGTAAAAATGTCTTCAAAGGAGAGTTTTCCGGTGATGTAACTCTCCTGTAAAGCCCACAATAACAGATAAACTCCAACAAAATGCTCCTGTTAGGTTTAAGGTCTCCAGTTAAAGTCCTCCAGGAAAACAGTCAGTCCACAACAAGTCTGTCATCCAGAGGGGTGTTGAGACAAAAGAGACACAAAACGGCAAACTGCTGCAAAACAGCAGAATCGAAAAAGAAATGGACAAAAACTCCCGTAAATAGCCATAAAAAAACTAAACGTGGTGCAAAATACCAGAAACAGACACAAAATGACCAAAATGCAGCGCAAAAGACCAGAAAAAACACAGGAAAATGACTAAATTAGACACCAAACAGCATAAAGAAATGCAGCAAAATACAGATAACAGATAAACTCCAACTCGAGTTAAAGTCCTCCAGACCAGTTATTAACATTTTAAGTGAAAATTGTAGGAATTTTAAGAGTTAAACCGATGACATCATGTTATGTCCACAGAAAAAAACGATTGAGACCAAGGCTCTGCTTTAGATCAAAATTTATTTGGTTTAGCTTCGGCTCAGAAGAAACAGAAAAAATGTCATTTAACAGGTTTTTCTTGTACAAATGAACACGTTTCTCATCATTGTGCAGGCCCTGAAAAGGATGGCAGCCTCATATGGACAAAAAGAGCTCAGACTCATTGCTTTTCCGTAGTTTTATTCAGGTTTTTACCTGCTGCCGAGAGAGCTGGGAGATAATTCTGCATCCGGCCCAAACCCAAATGAGTCAGAGAGTCTGGTTTCCAGCTGTTCTCATCCACCCTCTTATTCCTTCTGTTCCAGGATCCAGCTGCAGAGGCCGGGCTCCCCTGTGCCCAGCTGTTTGTCTGTCAGGAGCAGCCAGTCCAAAGAGTCCCCTCTTCAGTTCGGGGGACAGAACCCCTCCTCTGATGATCTGTAAGCCGCAACTCACAGTTTGTGGGCTCTCACTGTGGTTCAGTGAACCAAAAAGAGCCCATGATAGGCGAAATCCGTGAAGGGATTTTTTTGGTATTATTTATATTATTTCTTTATTATTCTTTTATTTATTTTATTTTCTCTATTTTTTAAAATATTTTTTTATATTATTTTAATAATTTTTTCAATTTCTTATCATTTTTTAAATAATTTCTCTTATGTATTTTAAATTATCATACAATTAAATACTCCATAATACATTGAAACCAAAATACAAAACCTTTTTACAGGCCCAAACGTTTGTTTATCAAATAAAACTACTGAATAAACTTCTTTTTGTTTTTTACAAATAACTACTGCACTGTAAAATAATCGTTTTTTGTGGGATTGTGTTTCAGGATCCAGCTGCAGAGGCCGGGCTCCCCTGTGCCCAGCTGTTTGTCTGTCAGGAGCAGCCAGTCCAAAGAGCCCCCTCTTCAGTTTGGGGGACAGAACCCCTCCTCTGATGATCTGTAAGCCGCCACTCACAGATTGTGGGCTCTCACTGTGGTACAGTGAACCCTCGTTTTACGTTTCAAAAAGAACCTATGACAGGCGAAATCCGTGAAGGGATTTTGTTTTTATTATTTTTTAATCATGTTCATTTTTTAAATTATTTTATTTATTTTTAATTATTTTTCAAATTATTTTTTTAGAATAAAATATTATTGTTTAATTCTTTTTTAATTTATTTTAATACATTTATTTAAAAATGTTCTTCTATTTTTAAAAAATCTATTTTAACTTATACAATTAAATAATCCATAATACATTGAACCAAAAAACCAAAACCCAAGTGTTTGTTTGAAAATAAAACTACTGAATAAACTTTTTTTTTTTTTTTTTTTTTTTTTTTTTAACAAATAACTACTGTACTGTAAAATAATCGTTTTTTGTGGGATTGTGTTTCAGGATCCAGCTGCAGAGGCCGGGCTCCCCTGTGCCCAGCTGTTTGTCTGTCAGGAGCAGCCAGTCCAAAGAGTCCCCTCTTCAGTTTGGGGGACAGAGCCCCTCCTCTGATGAACCGTAAGCCGTCTTAGACCACATAAAGATGCCTCACAGCCCCATTTGAGAGAAGCTAGTGACTTTAATCAGCTCCTGGATGAGCTGAGGGGCTGTTCAGGGCTCTCTGAGGGAGTAGCTTTAGCCTAAACTGAGCGGAGTCAGATGTTTATATATGTAATAATGGAGCATCATTTCATTCATATTTCAGATTTGAAGGGGGGTGCCCAGATGTTTCCTATAATCAACTTTCGAAGGAGCGTCAAACAAATTGGGAGCACATATTTATGGTCTGTGTAAATCATTTTCTGTCTATTTGTCTCCATTTGACCTCATTCCGGTGATTTGATGGGTTAAAACTACTGGCCTTGTTGTGTTTCAGATCTTGGAGAGGAGATTGGTCTCCTTCTTGGAGAGTTTGAGGGAGCTTCCGCTCTGCCCGGAGCTCAAAGGGCTGGAGGGCCTGGACCCCGAACGGTGCAAGACCCTCCTGAAGGTTCTGCTGTCCCTCCTGAGGAGGATCACGCGGGAGGGGCTCCCAGAAGGCCCGCAGAGACCCGGTGAGACCCCAATTCCCATTCCGATTAATTACTTTGACTGATTTATTTTATGAGAGTGTTAGATGCTTTCAGGGAACGTACAACGTTACTACTGCCACTCACAATTATTTTTTGTGTAATAGAAAGTTAAGTTAATTAAATCCAACAACTTTGAACAAACTGGGGAAGATAGACTTACATGAAAAAGCAAAAAATAGATCAATAAAATGTCCACCAGCCGGTTTTGAAGTAAAGTGTGATACTTAGATACAGCAAAACGGACAGGCTGTTACTGAGGCAGGACTCAGATGCGGAGGTACAGGTAGAAAAGGCAAGAAAAGGATCATAAACGAAGTTTCAAAATCATACTCAGGGAGTCGAGAACAAAAACTCAGATGTACAAAATCAAAATGACTCTTTCGAGGAGAAAACAGGGTTCAAGGCGAAAAAGTAAAGGCTTTACTATGACTTGGTTTAGCTCAGCACGAAGTAAACGCACAAGGCAAAACACGGACTATTTAACACAGGAGGGGAAGGGAACTCCAGGTGAACACAATCGGTGATCAGGAAGACAATTGGACGAATAACAATTGGACAGATGGAAGAGCCAAGAGACCTGAAACCAGAGGAGAGTTACTATCAAAATAAAACAGGAAATGACCAGACCACATTGAGACGGGACCAAAAACCCCAACCAGACCACACCGCTGTGACAAAAACATTCAAATAAAATAGAATAAATAGCAGCATTGCATGGTCACCCATTCTGGACCGGCATATTTGACCCACCTGACCTCCTTTTAGAGAGTAAGTTTTTTTTAAATCGGAGGGAGAAGGTGATCCTATAGATAAGGTAAATGTCATTTAAAATACCTATCTACTCCTGTATTGCGGGTGTAGTGTTTTTTTACCAGTGGTTATCAAAATATCAGGTATTCCTCAGCTTTCCTGACCTCCTGACCTCTGTTCCGGCCGGTGCTTGACCGGTCCGCTGGTCTCTTTGCTCAGAAAACAGAGTGGCGGTTTGTCGGCGTGCGCTCAAAAGCCAAATCCAGGAGACGGCCGGGCGCCTGTTCCGGGGCTTTTCCGGAGGGGGGGGGGGAGGAGGAGGCCGGCGCTCCTGACCCCATCCACACGGAGCTCCACCTGGCGGGGGGGGCCGGGGGGGGCGCCGGGCACGAGGCCGGTCAGCTGGAAACGGCGCCCGGACCCCAGCCGGCCGTCGCCCTGGACGACCTGTTCAAAGCCCCGCCCGGCAGGGAGGAGCCGGTCCGGACGGTGCTGACCAGCGGAGTGGCCGGCATCGGGAAGACCGTCCTGACCCAGCAGCTGGCCCTGGACTGGGCCCGGGGCCGGGCCCTCCGGGACGTCCACTTCCTGTTTCCCCTGGCCTTCCGGGAGCTGAACCTGCTGCGGGGGGCGGAGCTGAGCCTGGCGGGGCTGCTGCACCGCTTCTTCCCCGCGGCCGGAGAGGCGGGGGTCAGCGGCCTGGCGGGCCTGCGGGTGGTCTTCGTCCTGGACGGCCTGGACGAGAGCCGGCTGGCCCTGGACTTCGCCGGCGCCGAGGCGCTGACCGACGCCGGGCGCCCCGCCCCGGTGGAGCTGCTGCTGACCAGCCTGATCCGGGGCGAGCTGCTGCCCGCCGCCCGCCTCTGGATCACCACGCGGCCGGCGGCGGCCGGTCAGATCCCCGCCGCTTGCGTGGGCCGGCTGACCGAGGTCCGGGGCTTCACGGACGCGCAGAAGGAGGCGTTTTTCCGGGGGAGGTTCCTGGACGCGGGGCGGGCCGGCGCCGTGGTCGCCCACGTCCGGCGCTGCCGCTGCCTCCGGGTCATGTGCCGCATACCGGTCTTCTGCCGGATCTCCGCCGGCGTCCTGGACGAGGTCCTGCGGTCCGGCGGCGGGGGGGGCCAGCTGCCCCGGAGCCTGACCGAGATGTACGTCCACTTCCTGCTGGTTCAGACCGGGGCCGGGGGGCCGAGGCGCGGCGGGGGGGGGAGGGGGGGGGGGCAGCTGTGGACTCCGGAGGGCCGGGGGGCGCTGGACGCTCTGGGGGGGCTGGCCTTCCGGCAGCTGCTGAAGGGGAACCTCATCTTCTACGAGTCCGACCTGACCGACAGCGGGATGGACCTGGCGGCGGCGTCCAGGTACTCGGGGGTCTTCACGCAGGTCTTCAAGGAGGAGAGCGAGCTCCGCCGGGGCCGGGTCTTCTCCTTCGTCCACCTGAGCGTCCAGGAGTTTCTGGCGGCCCTGCACGTCCACCTGACTTTTAGCCGCACCGGGGTCAACCTGCTGGAGGACCCGGCGGTCAGCGGGCGGCCCGGGTTCCTGCAGGCGGTCCAGCAGAGGCTGGCGGGGTCCGGCGGGGGGGACAGAACGGCCGCGGCCTTCTACCGGGCGGCGGTGCGGAGGGCCCAGCGGAGTCCAGGCGGTCAGCTGGACATGCTGCTCCGCTTCCTGCTGGGCCTGTCCCTGCCCAGCAACCAGGCTCTCCTCCGGGGCCTGCTGGTCCCGACCCAGACCCAGACCCAGACCCAGACCAGCCGGGACACCGTCCAGTACATCCGGGAGCAGATCGAGCAGAGCCCCGCCCCGGAGAAAAGCCTCAACCTGTTCCACTGCCTGGCCGAGCTGAGGGACGGCTCCCTGCTGGACGAGGTCCAGCGGGCCCTGGCGTCTGGCCCGCTCTCCGACAAGCTGTCCGCCGCCCAGTGGTCGGCCCTGGTCTTCGTCCTGCTGTCGTCCAAGGCCGACCTGGACGTGTTCGACCTCCAGAAGTACTCCGCCTCCGAGGAGGCTCTTCTGAGGCTGCTGCCGGTGGTCAAGGCCTCCCGAAAAGCCGTGTAAGCGCGCTCACGGGTGGTCAGGAATCGCGTCCGAAGCCGGACAGGGACTTAACCTCCTTCCACTTTCGCCTTTTCTCCGTCCAGGCTGAGCTTCTGCAACCTGTCGGAGAGAGGCGTGGACGCCCTGGCCTCGCTCCTCAGCTCCGACTCGTCCGGCCTGAGAGAGCTGGACCTGAGTAACCACAGCCTGCCGGACACAGGCCTGACGCGGCTCTCCGCCGGGCTGTCCAGTCCAGACTGCAAGCTGGAGACTCTCAGGTCAGAAAAAACCGCACCATTAATGAGACCTCAGGCTCATAAACACACCCCTTCTTCTATTTTAATGTTAGCATGAACAGATTTTCAAAGAATGACCAAAGGCTTCACAGTAATTTCATCTTATGTCTGTTTCTTATGGCTGTAGAGTAACAAGAATTTCTATTTCTGTAATGAGGAGGAGCTTATTTGTTCATATTTATAGCATTATTGTGTCGGGATGAGTGTGTTTAACTGCTAATTGTTTCGATTGTTCTAAAGTTTTTTAAAAGCTCATATTGGGGATTTTTTCTCCTCCTCATTTGTAGTGAAATTAGCAACAATCAATCATTTAAAAGTGAATTTACAGGAAACTTTAAGCCCTCCAACAAGCAAGTTAAAGGAATTCTGTGGGATACATAAAAGCTTGAATGCCCACATTCAGAAACAGGGACGTTTTCTGGTGTTAAAGCTGCATTAATATTGTTTTGCATCAGAAATAAAGACGATTGCATCAGATAATCGAGCAAACATCCATCCTCTGATCATCTTTCTGCAGCACTGAACGAGACTTTCCAACCTTTTTTTCTGCAAAAGGCATTTTTAAATGCCTTTAAAATCTAATGCTTCGGTGGGCATTTCCGCAGGTTGAGCGGCTGTTCCCTCTCAGACCGGAGCCTCGCTGACCTGGGCCTGCCGTCCGGCCGCCTCAGAGAGCTGGACCTGAGCAGCAACCGGCTGCTGGACACAGGCGTCCAGCTGCTAACAGCTGGAATGCAGAGGACACCGTCCAGCCTGGACAGTCTCAGGTCAGCCTCGGGTCTCTGGTTTCTCTCAGTAAAATCCAATTAAACTTCTGTTCTCCTCTTAAAGAACCAACACTAATGGTAGGATGGCGGCGTTGCCGTGGTGACGCCTGTCTAAACTGGCTCTAGTTTGCCGTTTCTCGCTTGTTTGGAGCAGATTTTCATCCCAAACTGTCCCCGGTGATTGTTTTTTGGAGTCTTTTATACCCAGAGAAAACTTGAAACATTTTTTTAACCCGTTTCAGGCTGAGCGAGTGCCAGCTCTCCGAGGGGAGCTGTGAGGCCCTGTCCGGCCTCCTGAGCTCCGGGTCCTCCAGTCTGAGCCGGCTGGACCTGAGCAATAACAACCTGCGGGATTCGGGGGTCCGGCGGCTGTCGGTGGGGATAGGAAGTCCTCGCTGTAGGCTGGAGACTCTCAGGTAAGCACGTAAAACCCAAGAACAGTCTCTGGCTTCTTCAGGGTGGGGGCTCACTCACTTCTCTGTTCATAGCTGAGATTCTTAACCTTTTCTGAGGTACCGAAACCCCCAGTTTCAGATGCACATTCACTGAACCTGCTTTAGTTATTAATAAAATCTCCTTTTTTTTCCAAATTCAAGACATAGGTATATGTTTTTTTACTGCTACACAAAATTAGCTGTACATGAACATCAGCTTGCTCAAAGAACAAAACAAATACAGTGCTGAACTCACAACAAATGACGGTATTACTTTATTCTGGCCCCCCCAAAAATATTTTGGCCCAACAAAAGAATTTCAACCCCCCAAATAATTTCTGTTTACTATTTTACTGATTAAAAATACATTTGAATTTTTAAAAAAGAATTTAAAATTTTTTAATAACTTAATTTTTTTATTTAATTATTTTTTTGTCGTTTTTGAATCCACAAAATACTTTTTCCTGTTTCCTCTTATCCAAAATTCACCCAAAAAATAAATCCATATATTTACTTTTAAGCAAATACATAACTTTACACACATTTTCACATATATAATCACATGCACACAAGTATACATATGCAAATATATACACAAACTCTCCATCCACACGTGTATATATATTTACACCCCCCCCCTCCTTTGTAGGGATAAGTGGGTTTAGAAATAAACAAGCAAATATACAAATATATATAAACACAAACTGAAACCGGTGTCTCAAAACTAAAGCAAGAATAAAATCAATCAATAACAAAAATGCAGGAGTTTTATGACCCATTAACTTCATTATCAATCAATGATACTATTTAATCTCCATTTCCAGTATTTCAGAAATGTCCGAAACCTTTTAACCTGATTTTTCCAATCACGCTGCTTCCTGAGGCTCACATGGTCGTGCTGCAGCTTTAGCATGCGCTGACCCTTGTGGGCCACCGTAGCCGCCTCTATTCTGTGGTTAAGCCTCCATCTTTATGCCAAACGTCCTGCCTGTCTGCAGGCTGTCCGGCTGCCTGGTCACTGAGGAGGGCTGCGGCTATCTGGCCTCGGCTCTGACCTCCAACCCCTCCCATCTGAGCCACCTGGACCTGAGCTACAACCCCCTGGGGGAGTCCGGGGAGAAGCTCCTGGCGGCTAAAGTAGATGACCCCAAGTTCAGACTGGCCACGCTCAGGTACAGAGAGGCCCAAAGGCCTGAGGGGGGAAGTGACCCCCGGCCATCCCTCAGTAACCAAAAGCTCTGCTGGTGACTTTCTTTGTAGGCTCAAACCTGGGGGAGTCCAGTGGTCCAGACCAGATCTGAGGAAATGTAAGTGTCTCCACCCCATCCCGTAAAGTTTCCAAGACAAATAAGGGTTCTCAGTAATTTGAAGATGGAGGATTGTTTTAGGATTCGTGAACCAGCCTTCTTTTCTTTCTGAGAGACTCTACCTCTCTTAGGTTCTCTTTTTTAACCCACATATTGGCCGTTAGCTTAACTAGCTGTCAATTAGCTCTTCCAGCCAGTTTGTTTGTTTTATTCCTAGATTTTCATCCTTTTAGTGTCACTTTTTCCAGCAGTTTTTATCTACCAGGTTCAAAATTAGATCTTTTCTTTTTCCGATTCAGACTTTGGGTTGATTCCTTCAGGGAAATTCCAGTTCCAGCATCACTCAGAGGGCTGATACAAATCGTTAGAATAAGTCTTAACCGATCTTCAGCTTATCCAAAAATAGCAGAAAGAATAAAACTCCCGACGGAATAGAGAAGTGAAAGTGACCAATGACGTAAAAATAGATCATGTTGTTGTTGCACTGAGGCCACAGACTGAAATATTGCACAATCATTTCCCTCAACGTTTGAGATTTTTCTACTTTCCGTGTTGAATTCGAATGATTCATTTTCACATGACTGTGCATCTCTTCTATCTATTAGCTTAGAAAAGTTAGCTTTAAAAGCATTAACACATTAGCCCTTATAAACTAGTCAACAGATATAGATAATTAGGAAATAATGAGCTTAAATATGACAAAAATATTTGGATTTTAACAACAGCCAGAGTGTTTTTTTGACAGGATAGAGACCATTTAGGGGGGTTTTACCTTTAAAATCCACTGAAAAGTGTATTAGAAAGAAATGTGTCGGTCTAATCTGAAAACTAAAGTTTTTACTCAAAGGTTTATGAGGAAAGAGGAAACTCTGACACCGTTTTTTAATTGTAAGTTACGGACTCTTGTCCACTTCGGGCCGAGGTCAGGCGGCCATTGGGCTCCTCTTTCTGCATCTAAAAGAGTGAAATCTGCTTTAAATCCCCTCTCTTTCCTTTCGCCGTCAGATTCCTGTGAACTGCGCGTGGACGCCAACACGGTCAACCCTCACGTGAAGCTGTCCGAGGGCGGCCGGAGGCTGGCCTTCTCAGAGGAGGGGCAGGACTACCCCCCCCACGCCGACCGCTTCGAAAAGGACCACCAGCTGCTGTGCGCCGGCCCCCTGACCGGCCGCCGCTACTGGGAGGTGGAGGTGGCCGGGGGCGTCCACGTGTCGGTCAGCTGCCGAGGCACCGGCCGGAGCGGGGGGGGGGGCAACAACAACGGCTGGTTCGGAGGGAGCGGCCGGTCCTGGAGCCTCTACTCCTGCCCGGGCGGGTTCTCGGCGTGGCACAACAAGAAAGGGGTGTCCATCCCCTGGGCCTCCTCCCCCTCGGGCTCCCCCCGCAGAGTGGGGGTGTACGTGGACCGCGAGGCTGAACGGGTGTCCTTCTACAGGGTGTCGTCCGGCGCCCTGACCCACCTCCACACCTTCAGGACCACCTCGGCCGAGCCCCTCTACGCCGGGTTCGGCCTCTGGACCTGGTCAGACTTACCCCGCGGGTCCTCCGTGACTCTGTGTTCTGTGTAGGTTCAGTTTAGTTTAGTTTTATCAGGATCCCCATTAGCTGCCAAATGAATGGCCACTCGTCTTCCTGGGGCCCTCACATGAAAAAATGACATTACATTATGAACAAATCATAAAAATGAAAATAAATCACAGCAGGAAATAATAAGAACATAAACAAGAGTAGAAATATACAACATATATACACAGGTCAGTTCATCATATCATCTGCAGTAGTTCTGAAGACAGTATCTTTTTGAAGCTTGTTCTGTTCTGAACTCTGCGTGTGGTTATCGGCAGTTGGTTCCAGTGAAATATGGCTCTATAATGCACTGTGGATTTTAGGTAGTTTGTTCTGGGTCGAGGAAGTTTAATGTCTCCACCTCGTGCCCGCCTTGTTAAATAATTGTGACTTTTTTCAACAAGGACTAAATGTTCAGCAAAAAATGAGGGCTGTTTTTTAAAGAAAACATTCCATATAAATAGGAGAAGTCTTAATTTATGTTTATAGGTAACTGTTAACCATGACAGCCGTCTATGCATTGAAGCCTGGTGGGGGGGGGGACTCAAACCAGTTTCTTTATTCAAACAGCATCTAAAATTATTTACTGCCTAAAAAGACTCCTTTTCAAAGTTAGTTTGGTTGTTTTTACCCCCTGCCTTCTTTTCTTTCTGAGGGACTCTGCCTCTCTTAGGTTCTCTTTTTTAACCCACCTGTTGGCAGTTAGCTTGATTAGCTGTCCATTAGCTCCTCCAGTCGGTTTGTTTGTTTTGTTCCTAGTTTTTCAGCCTTTTAGTGTCACTCTCCTCACTTTTTCCAGAAGTTTTTAGCCTCCAGGTTCAAAATGAGATTGTTTCTTTTTGCCATTTCAAAGTTAGTTTGGTTGTTTTTTCCCCTGTATGAATTCTGTTACAATATTTAAATGGTTTAAGCTTGAAATATGTAATGTAGATTTTATCATTTTGTTGACGTAGCATGGCTTTAAGTATTAACATTATTTATCCAACAACTGTACGTATTCTTTATTAAACGTAAAACCTTTTTCTGGTTTGATCTCTATTTGTGTAGAGGCTTGAAAAAAAACACACCAAAGCGTACCAATTTGCTTAATAAATAAAGTCTTTTTGCACTTTGACTTGTTCCTGACATTAATGAGGATCATTTTTC